GTTCCGCTTAAGCAGAAACTAGACCGCAGCAGTGGTCCAGCCAAATTGGGCCAAAACCGCAGAAGCGGTTCCGCTTAAGCGGAAACTAGACCGCAGAAGTGGTCCAGCCAAATTGGGCCAAAATCGCAGAAGCGGTTCGGAAACCGCAGAAGCGGTTTCGCAGAAGCGCCCTTCAGACCGCAGAAGCGGTCCAGTAGCTTAAAGCCCAGAGCAGTAGATGCGGCCTCCTTTCGCAGGAGCGGGACCGCAGATGCGTTCCCCAAACCGCAGAAGCGGAAACCGCTGGGCAATAAGCTCTTTTAATTCGAGCTCAAGGTCATTTATTTCACTCACTACTTCACACTTGGGCGATTTGGGTGCTTCTAAAGAGAGGATTTCAACATAGTATTGTAAGGTAAATAATCTCCCTCCATTCTTAGTTTAATTACATGAACATTAGGTAGATTAAACACTAATAACTAAGTAAAAATCAAGGGTTAGAGCTAGACCTAGGATTTTAATAAAACTAAGATTTAAGCATGTAATTTGCTATGTAATGAACTAGAAATGATATATTATTGATCCTTAGGTTGTAGAGAACAACTTCCTTCGAAAAAATCTCGGAATCCGGGCACGTGGGTCCGGGGTCGGAATTTAGGAAACTTGTGAAAAGGGTTGGGAAATGGCTTAAATAGCTAGAATTCGATCTTGTAAACTTATATTGACTAGTTCTTACTTCCTTTAACTAGTTTGTGATCGTTTGGCTCCTACTTGAGGGCTTGGACTTGTTTTTGATATTGGAAGTGCGCTTTGGAGCGAGGTGAGTCTCCTTTCTAACCTTGTAAGAGGGAATTGTCCTCATAGGATTAATAAATGAGAATTTGCTGCTAAATGCAGGGGCTACGTACGTACTAGGTGACGAGAGTTCGTGCGTAGCTACTATGATGATAATTGCTTGGGTAGTTTAGGACCCACATCATACCTAATTTGGAGTTATCTTTATTTTAAATTGCCAATATGATCATTGATGATATGCTAGAGACTTGAGAGAAATGAAAAGTGAACATATGAACTTGTTGAACCTTTGTAAAAGTTTCCTTGTATATAAATGAGCCTTGTGTGCATTCTTGATATTTTTTTGTTAATTATGGATCGGGCCAATTGCCTCGGTGAAAATAGATGCATCTATGGTACGGGCCGTTCGACCCTCGGCAGTGCACAATTTATTTTTCGTTGGAGCGGGCCGTTGACCTCGGCATGATTGCGCATGATATATATATGCTAAAGCTTAGACATGACAAGATTGCTTGTTAAGTATGTAAAAGGGAAAATAGTAACTGAAATATGGTCAAGGACATGATTATGGCCTTCATCATAACTTGTTGTTTAATGGAAATCTTCATGCTTTATATAGCACATTATTATTATATTATCTTGACCCTAGTAGGTATCAAGTCGACCTCTCGTCTCTACTTCTTCGAGATTAGACGGGATACTTACTGGGTATATATTGTTTATGTACTCTTACTACTCTTCTGTACTTAATTGTACAGGATCTAAGGCTGATACATCTGGTTACCGATCTGGTGCGCGACCTTGAGTTTGTGGCAGAGACTTCCACGGTGAGCTGCTTCCCTTCCTATGCCGCTCAACAGCCGGATGGAGTCTTCCTTTACCTTTTGCTGTCTTTCTTTATCTCAGACAGTAGGATATAGATGATCTTTTGTATATTCTACTAGATGCCCGTACTTGTGACACCAGGTCTTGGCACACACGCATTAGTAGACTTATTCTTTTGGATTTGTAATATTATGTTACCTACAGTATCTATCTCTTTTAGTCCTAAATCCAAATTGGAATGGTTATTTCACTTAAATCCTAATAAAATCAACATAAGATGTTAGAAATGTTCCGCAGTGGCTTGCCTAGAAACGGTGTCGGGCGCCCTCACAACCTATTATGGAAATGGGTCGTGACAACATGGTATCAGAGCACTAGGTTCACGTAGGTCTCACAAGTTATGGGAAAACCTAATAGAGTCTTGTAGATTGGTACAGAGACGTCGGTATTTATCTTTGAGAGGCTATAGGTTACTAGGAAAGACTACTTTTTATTCATTTCCTATCGTGTAGTGGCTAGTGTACTAAATTTCCCTCTTCTATTCTCTCACAGATGGTGAGGACACGTACCGCGGACGTTCCGGACCCGGGAGGAGCTGCTCCCCCCGTTGCTAGAGGCCGAGGTAGAGGCCGGGGGAGGGCACCGGCCCGTGGTAGGGGACGAGGGCGTCCCAGAGCCGTTCCAGTTGCACCACCAGTAGATCCAGCGAGGGATCCCATCATTGAGGAGCAGGGCGAGGTGCCCGCAGCTGAGCCTACCCCGGTGGATTTCATGACAGCACCGGGATTTTAGGAGGTCATGGGCCGCATGCTACGGTTCATGGACACTATGACTCAGGCTGGTTTATTTCCAGCAGACCCAACTGCTTCACATGCATGAGGGGGAGCCCAGACCCCTACTGCTCAGGCTCCAAGTCATGCAGCTGCAGTATATCAGACTCCAGGTGCACTACCCGCAGATGGGGCTTAGCCAGTTGCTGCATTGGCACCTCAGCCCAGGACGGCGATCCGCAGAAGTTATTGGACATATGGACTCGGCTGCACCCTCCAGTCTTCGGGGGTGAGCATCATGAGGATGCCCAGGACTTTATTGACACGTGCAGGGACAGACTGCACAACATGAGGATATTGGAGTCGCATGGAGTTGACTTCACTACTTTTCAGCTTGAGGGCATGGCCCGTAGATGGTGGCAGTCTTATGCACTTAGCAGGCCAGCATATGCTCCTCCCCTCACCTGGGGTTAGTTCACACAGTTATTCCTTGATCGGTACATTCCACCCTCTGAGAGGGAAGAGTTGCATCATCAGTTTGAGCATCTAGAGCAGGGTCAGATGTCAGTGACCGATTATGAGGCGAGGTTCTCTGAGTTGTCTCGCCATGCACTTATGATACTCCCCACAGAGGCAGAGAGAGTACGGAGATTCGTTGCAGGGTTACACCCCACTATCCGGTTGGGTATGGACCGAGAGGTAGAGACGGGCACAGGGTATCAGCTAGTACTTGAGATTGCTCGCAGGATTGAGGGTTACCGTCTGAGGGGTAGAGAGCAGATGCAGCAGGATAAGAGGGCCAGATTCTCTGGAGAGTTCAGAGGCGCCCCAGCTATGGGTAGAGGTCAGCTCAGCAGGCCCCAAGTTTCAGCACCACCGCCTGCGCGGGGTGCTCCAGCGCGCTCCTATTTCTGCGCCATGCCAGAGAGTTCTTATCGCCCGCCAGCTATTCAGGGTTCATCCAGTGGGTATCCAGGTCCTCTGGATTCTTCCAGTTCTTATTTCAGTGCTATGCCGGAGAGTTCATACCGCCCACCGGCTATTCAGGCTTCTTTTAGTGGGTCTTCTGGTTTTCAGAGTCAGCCATCCGGACAGAAGGTCGTCGCACCATGTTGTTTTGAGTGCGGAGACCCGGGTCACATGAGGAGATACTGCCCCAGGCTTAGGGGCAAGGCAGTGCAGCAGGGGCAGCAACCCATGACTCCAGCACTAGGGGCCCAGCCACCTAGAGGTGGAGGACAGACTGGTAGAGGCCGTCCCAGGGTGGAGGCCAGACGGGGAGAGGTCATCCAGCTACTACTCAGTCAGGTGGAGGCCAGACAGCCGGTGCTCCAACTAGATTGTATGCCCTTCCGGCCAGGCCAGATGCATTGGCCTCAGATGCCGTCATCACAGGTATTATTTTCGTCGGTGGTAGGGATGCTTCGGTATTATTTGATCCGGGGTCTACTTATTCATATGTATCATCTCTGTTTGCTCGTTTGCTCAAGGTTTTAAGTTAATTTTCGAATCAGTAACTGTGACTCAAATATTAGTTCAACAAACCAAATTTATTTGGGTGGTGAAAATTAGATTTTTAACAAGCTTAAATATGTCGGTTTAAATTTTGAATTTGATTTTGTGAGAAATTTGGAGTGGGTGTTTTTTAGACTTGTTAGAAATAGTATAAAGATGTTGTACATAAAATATGAAGTCATTTAAGGAGATTTGGACTGGTTTTGAACAAGAATTGCAACTGAAAATCGTGGAAGAAGTTCGTCTACGGAAACTTGTATAAAGGTTTATAATAGTGTATAAGATATGTTTATACACTATTATACAATATTATACATAATTATACAAAAAATTGACTTCGTCTTCTTTCTTGCGTTATTTCTAAAATTTAACTCAAATCTACTCCAAATCACTTCAAATTTAAATTTTGAACTCCTTTTAATATTTTCAATCAATTGGAACAACACCCGATCCAAACAACTAAACAACTCAAAAAGTCCTATTTTTGAAAGCAAAGCTTTGAATAGCCTTCAATGGTGGACTTCGACTCTTCAAGTTTTTTACATTGCAACCAGGTGACGTAATGGGAGAAGCAGTAATGCGGACGGCCCCTTGAAGCATATATAAAAGATGTGAAAAGAAGAGAGAGTGAAAGTAATGGTTGTGAGAACACAAATTTAACTCCATAACTTTTAGAAGCAATGGTTGTAAGAACACAAATTTTGAATTTGCAAGAGCTAGTATTTTCAAAATATGTACAATATGAGCTAGGTCGGATAAAACTTAAAAACATGAGCCATTTTTTATTATGGTGTAAAGTCATGTGTATTTTCTTGTAATTTTTTCTTAAAACACTATCTTTCGAACAAGAAGAGGAGTCGAATATAAATTCGTTATCTTTCTATTAATTGTCTTTGCAATATTACCATGACTTTTACAATTGCGAGAAGCACAGCCAAATTTACTAACTTTAGATAAAGCATAACTTGTACTATTACCACTTCAGATTATTTGATCTACAGTTAGATGTACTACTCCCTAAAGGTCCTTGCTCCTTCAAAGTTTAACAAGTAATCAATCAAAGTAGCTAACCCACCCCCAATGACCCACAGAAATATAATGATATGTTTACCAATATTAACCCAAATCATGATTAATTCATTAAAAAAGTTTCAAACATGCTCTCCAATGCTACAATTCCTTTGGCCTATTTACCCAAAAAAGAGTACGAATCCTATGTTAAACCAAGCTTTCTCCCTAAATATATTAGGTACAGAGATTAAACCTTCATGATGGGAAATGTAGTCACATAAACACATAATGCGAGACAGAAAAGTTGATGCTAAGATGACGGAAACTAAAACCAACAAAAGTAGTTGCTAATGGTTGAAGCCAACTTAATTAAAACAAAAGGCAGTTTGTTTTAGTGACAGCAACTCCTGGACTTCTATTCAACCACAGCAAAATCCTAATATTGGCAGGATCATTTTGCCTTGTAGTGACCCTACAAGATGCGTAAGAACAAAAAGAAGATAAAGATTAGTACTTTTGTGCATCATAGATGACAAGATTTAAGAAGAAGTTGGAAATAATAGGGACATCCATTGACAGGAGTAGCATATTAGGGCGACTAATAAAACTGAATAATCAAATAAAATGTACTGTTCAAAGTCGCGCCAGTGTCTTGTAATTGAATTGTCCTTAAATTATCTGTTGACTTACCGACTGATATCTCCGCAGTGCATCAAGTTTGCAGAAGACTAGACATATATAAATAGGTCTCACTATATATGGCATCAAGTTGCAGCCCTTAAAGGAGTACATCTTAATCCTCTTCATTAGCTAGGATACAAGCCTGCAGTATTACGCGCACCATCAAGTCCTACTATGATATTAAATTCAGCCTACACTCCATTCTAAAGGAAAAAGAAGAAAGAAGAAATAAGAAAACTGATTAAGTTACCTCGGGAAATTACTTACCAAACTTCAAGTTCAGCGGCAGCTAATTATAGATAGAACTTTCCCCCTAAGCTTTTCAAGTCTCTGCATAATGAAAGAATAGAAGTTTGAAAAAATGCAGCTAATATATAATATCATGACCAAACACCAGGACACATACCGAACCAGAAATCTTTGCCCATCTTTCAGCAGAAGCGCTGGCTTCTTTCAGATGAGAACAATGTGAATGATCAAAATTTAAATAATAGGTCGAATTTTCTGTTGCTTCAGCTACCCAGAGGTTATTAACATTATCTCTTGCTCTCTTGATGAGATTGCAAAAGGAAACCTGCAAAAACTTCATTGTTTCAGCTGTGGATACTGGATACAAATTAGAGAAACACCATAGACTTAAACATTTGAGTTTTACTCTACAGCATAACCCTTTAAATTCATTAATCAGGAATACTGTGTAGTGCATCAATGACATGATGTTCTGCATGGATACATGCAAAGACCATGAGAGAAAAGTTGCCTGCTTATAAAAGTTGTAGTAGTAAAAACACGGGCCCAGATGCCATTAAGCAACAGAACCGTTAGAGTTGAAGTTAATGATATACCACCATATCCTGTATAAAAGAGGATTTTCTGAATGTTTTATATCTAATTGTCATTAGACGAAAAAGGATGATAAATACGCAATAAGTTGCTTCCAGAAAATCAAAGGTTCAGTACTGGTGGCTATGAGGAAAACCATGTACCGCAAGTAGTTTACTCCTTACTCACCACAGACCCTACAAGATTAGAGTTTATTGGTGCAAATGAATCAGTTTCTACGCATGGTGAGGTGAAGCTAGTGGCCATCACGGTTTCTGATTCATCATTGGAATCACACGTAGATGTGGATCCATCAGCTACAAATACCCACTGCTTACTTTGATGAGCTTCTGTATACAGCTGCCCCACAAAAACAACCACTGCAGCGATATCAAACTCCCTGAATGAACCAGAGAAACACAATAAGTGAATAAAGAAGTTTCTCGCTTCAGGAGCACAAGTGTTGATTCCAAGATTTTACCACCAGAACCAACCTGGACATAGGAACTTCACCCAATTTACTCAATGGAACTGATCGGCGAGGACAAAAAAAGGGCCTGCAGGAACAGGTATCAGATATATAAGTTCGTGCAGTAAAAGGATGAAAGCAGCATATACTTACTCAAAACCCTCAATTTCCATAGGAGACAAAGGCCGCCATTTGGCTGTGGACCCTTTTGCTTGCAAATAAAGGGTGCTCGAGTCTGAGCTTATCGGTGTAAGCCCTGTAACAGCAAAAGCTTGACCCTCTGCAAGCTCGGATTGCTATAAAACAATCAGTTAGAGATGGAAGTAGTACAGAATTGAGAAATATATTAGCAAAAATGAGGGGATATAAGATTAAAGAAAAAAATTCAGAGCAAAATCAGATAACCAAGAGGATATTAAAGCTCATTTTCACTACCTGTTTCTCAGTTGGATTCCAAATTGTAATTAAGCCTTCCTGTGGGCAGCACTTCGATGGAGTACTTTTGCTAGTCAATCCAACAACTCTAACTCGCATAAAAGGAGTGACGTCTCTTTCAGCAAGTCCAGCAGCTTGCAAAGCTTTTTCAAGAGATTTCTGCAGGTCAGACTGCCTCGATGCCTGAAAATGACGAAAAGGAATCATGACTAACCAACCTCCTATAGTAAAGCAAGTATAAAAGAACACACCTCCAACTTTGCTTGATAGGATGCAAATGCATTCAACTGTTCTTTAGACATCTCTGCCATCAGAAGTTCTGGTTCTGCAGCTCTCTCTAGTATCTTCAAAATTCTTGCCCCTTCTTCACTTTCATGGTCACTTCCAATGTACGCATCTCTCTTTGCCCTTTGAGATTCTGAGGTTATTCCCTCCACAACTCTACATCGTCTAGATTGATAATTCACAAATATATGTCTTATCAATAAATATCACAGATATTCATAGAAAAAACACATCAAATAGTTTTTAAAGAGCATTGCATGAAAGTGGGACTTGTATTGGTAAATACAACAAATCCAAGAGATAGGCATGATAGAAAGGATCTCTATCCTAGAATGTCAGTTTCTTAATATGAAAGAGGGAAAAAACTGACAGTGAAAACAATGACATAGCAAGCAGAACCTTTTGGCTTCTCTATTGAAAAACTCACAAGCTTGATTATGTTACAGAAACTTATTAAGCTTTATGAAGACATTTTTCCATCATAATTTGCAAAATTGGCTCGAGCGCTTGCACTATGTTTCAGAAGAAAAGGCTAGCACCAGCTTCTCGTAACTAGAGCTGGATCAAGCTTTTTGATATTGAGCAAACTGTACATTTGTACTTTTGTTTACTGTCACTTCTCGTCATTCTTTATTTTCAACCACCAGACTAATAATTCAAACCAAACCCAGCTGCTCAATCCACCAGTCGGTACCACCTAGCCGTCAAACAAGCCATACAGATACATACAACCAAACATATTTTTGTGTTATGCATAATTCATTTAAAGAAACATCTTCATTCCCCATAGATTGGATTTACCAGATGATTTGACTGCATTTCAACAGAGTGATACTGGTTTGCTGGAGGATGTCAATCAATTTGATGAGGGCAGACAATTGGCCGCTGTTAAAATTGAAGGCTTACTAAAGCAACTTTAACTGGAGAGTTGTATGATAGGTCTCGTTCAAGAATTACCTAAGCTCAACCCCCGTGCACACAGGGGAAGGAGTGAACATTTAGCCACATTGAGTTGTCCAATCCTTTCTTATGTCCACTCCTCCTTGCATTCATTTAACAACTATTCTCCGCTGCCTGTTCTATTTTTCTCTAATAGCACAAAAAATTTAGTGATTTATTTGATGTTATTCTTTCAGCTCAGTGCAAGTTATTTTCATTGATCCTTTGCCTAATACAAAAAGAGACACTATCCGCATTGTCCATTAACCTCATTTTCATGCCTCATTCCAGTATTCAACTATGACCAGAATGGTTGAACCGCTTAAATCTTAAAGCAAAGGTCAAATGTTTTGAGTAGTAAATATATCCAAGTGAAGATTTTTAGGTGTTCTCATGCAATTTGCGACTGTTGTAGTTACCAAAATTATAGTCAAATTAGTTGACATATACCATTACTCAATTCCATTGACGTTTTTCATTTAAAAACTAATCTGCTATCCAATTCTTGATAGCTATTGCTAATATAATATATTGATACAGATGTGTGATCCATCGAGCTTTTGATGAAAATCACACATAATAGTAGCGGGAAGTAAGGATCACCTTACAGATAAACCAACTGTGACACTTTTATATATGTTGCACCCAGGAAATCATATTTATTGAATAAATCAAATGTGGACTTAAGAGTGATCAATAAGATTATTGCCATGAATGTTACTAAACTAGCATCAGACAACAGTGGCCTACAATGAAGGAGTTGAGGCACATTTCTTGATGTATCACGGGTTTCAGATGAGGAAAAACCAAGAAGCTAGTACTGCAAATTGCAAGAAGTTGGAAGGAAGATACAAAGGTCAGAATGCCAGTTTATTACAAGAAGATATTCAAGTAAGCATGTGATAGCAGCAAATGGTCACAGGACGAAATGCATTTTGTGGACATATTGGATGTTTATAAATGATGCAATTCAAATCGACCGTCTGAAGGGATAAAGATAGAAGTGGGAAGCGCATAGCTATTAAATTGTTCAAAAGCTAGGCAGTACTTGCTTGATGCAAGGAAGAGAGCCAAACTCATTTCCATTCTCATCCAGAGGCAAGGATTGGCTGTATCAGTTGAGTTTTTTTTTCCCCTTTAAGTGATAGTTTTTACCAATTAAAGAAAGAGTGATTCATTTCTTCCAGCTAAAAAACAAAAATGTATGCAATTCTAAAAATGAACTCATAATGTAGATATCAAGTGAAGGATGGAGAGAAATCTTTTAGCAAGTTTGCAAGTATCACCTTTGATTAAAAGACTGCATCTCTTTAGCTTCCATCCTTTCAGATCTTACAACGAAACCACCATTCCTTAACCTGGATGTCATAGATTTTCATCAGACTCAAAACTAATTTTCTTCCGTAACAAATTTCAATTACCTTTCCCTGTAGAGAACAGGATATATCCTTGAAATTCCGACCAATGTAAGTGGAACAGAACCTCCACCATCCTTGATTGACAAAAATGATAATGGAATGGCACCACCTTTACCTAACAACATTTACATGAAGCAGGATGGGCCAAAAGGGGAAAGAGAATACTTTAATGGCATTGTCAGGATGTAAATGCAGGTCATAAGTTCTTGGTATGACTAATGCTTACATAACCCCAAACGAGATGCCCAATGAGCTCTATATGCCCCATTTATATGCAGTAGCAAACTAGTCGTTCCTGACACCTGAAATTGATGCACACCTTTAGTAATGACAATAGAAACTTGAAAAGCCCATGAAAGCACCAATATATAGAAGCTGCTAAAGGCAACAACCTCAAGTGGTGAAACAGGACCTGTCCAGCCACAGAATCGAGCTCCCCAGATCTTTAGATGACAAGATAAGCTGTAAGCAATATGAAATTCTGATAGTCTCTTACACAAAGGATAGACTACAACCATTAATTTAATGTGGTACCCTAAGCTTTTGGCCAACAAACAGCTTTCCAGCAGCCAACTTCTTGGATAATAGTATATCTAAGACAGCAGTAATTGAATACCTGTGAAACAAACAAGTTCTGCATGATTCATGAAATCCAACTTATAATATGGTGATAGATATTAATATTTTTCTTACCACCCATCTGTCAGTTCAATTTTTGCACAAGCTCCATTTTCGGTCGTGTCAGACAAAGAAAATTGAGGTCCAACTGGGGAGTTGCAAATTGAATAGACCTTGGAAATGCAGAGCACCATCATCGAAGAAGGTGGGACGTCTCCTTCTAGAATTCTCTTAATTGCAGATCGATGACCATAATTTACTTCTCTTTCATATCTGCCCAAAGGATGAATTGATGTTTTATTCTACCTCTGAAATCCAAGAGAAAATGCAAAACTGACTCAATTTATACCTGTACTTTAATTCTTCAAGTACATTGCAGATTGTCAAAAGCTTCCCAGAAAATTTGGTACTATAACACCTCTCATAAGATGCAAGTTTCCAAACAATCCACTTATAGTGATTTGTAACCCACCTATTGGAATGATGAAGAATGTGTAAGCAGGTCATATTGAAGAACAATTTAAAAGGCAGACGAATTTTGATAGACATACAACAATATTAAGCGATAGAATTGTCTATGAGGAGCACCATTAGTCAGATACAAAATATCATTAATCAGGAGAATTGAGAAGTGTGCCACTGTATTTGAGAAGCTAACCATGTAGCAGATGCTCTAGCTAAATGGAGTACAGAAAATGATGATTTGAGTACCTCATCCTTCAACGAGTATCAGACGCCTTTCTCTCTCTCTCTCTCTCTTTGATAAGCCTAACGGTAACATCTCCATCTCCACCGGCAAATCCCCAGCGTCGGCAATTGTCCAGGTGAACTAGGTAAGTACTCGTTCCTCTCTTTCTCTCTCCCCGCGTCTCTCTCTTTCTTCCCCTTTCTTTTAACCCTAGCAGCAACTTGGCCGGCGACCGGCGATCCACCGGCGCCGTCTCGTCTTTCTTCTGCTTTTCCGGCCCAACCACACCACCCTCCTCTGTGTTTCCCTTTCTTCAAACCTTTCCTCTTCGCACCACTGTTTCTTGGACCGGCACTGTTTTCCAGCGACCGTTCCGGCGACAGTCCTCTCCTTTTCTTGGTCCCGTGGTTTGTTGTGTGTGTTTCAGGTAGCACTTTTGCTTGCTGTTTGGTGACGGGTGGGAAGTGCACGGGCAAGCATAGCAGAGCAGGCCATTTGGCAGTCACAAAGGGCTGGACGTTGGGCTCCAAAGCACCCAGGTTATACTCGCGGGAATTGCTGCGACTGCCCTGGCAAGCGCGAGGCATACGGGCGAGTAGAGCGGAGCATCACCGGGTGCATCAAGTCATATTTCCAGGTTCTTTCCATCGGGAGTTGGTACCTCCCTTTTTTTTTTTTGAATTGGTAACTATTGTATATATTAATAATATCAGTATGAAAACCAAATTTACATGAAGAGGATAAGTAGATGTTCTGATTTGAGACCTAGCAAGTTCCTAGTATGTCTATGATTGTCAATGTATCTTCTGTGTAAATCTGTTTACACCAAAAACAAAAAAGAAGAATACAATTGAGTTTGATCTTCTGTACTGGATTGCTTCTATCTTCAAAACATCTAGCGTTCCTTTCCCTCCAAATTGTCCACCAGATACAAGCCGGGACAGTCCTCCATCTATCTCTACTAGTTGCTTCAGCTCCAGCTTCTTCCCAGCTATAAAGAACATCTTTAAGCATGTATGGCATTGACCATGAAATACCCCTAAGACTAATAAAGATTTTCCATAGTTGATCTGTAATCTTGCAATGTAGAAATAAATGGCTGATAGTTTCAGCATTTTCCCCACATAGAAAACATCTTGAACACAGAGAAATTCCCCTTTTTATGAGATTATCATGGGTTAATACCGCCTCCTTTGCTAGTAGCCAAGTGAAGCATGCTACCTTGTATGGAATCTTTGTTCTCCATATATGTTTCCAAGGCCATGCGTCTACCTGTTGATTATTATGATTCAAAATCTTATATGCATCCTTCACCTGATAAACCCCTCTGTTGTGCCTCTGCCTTCAAAGTGAATCAAACCCTTCCTGTAATCCTTTAAATGCTTCCAGCTCTTTGTAAAGGTCAGCTAATCTTGTTATCTCCCAGTCATTCAACCGTCTTCTGAGAGCGATTTCCCATCCTTGATGACTCCCCATATCAGCTACTGTCCTATGCTGGTTTTGTGCTAAACCAAACATATCGGGGTATCTTTCCTTTAAGCTTCCGTGTCCCAACCAGTTATCATTCCAGAATGATGTGTTCCTTCCGTTGTTCACTCTTATGGAAGAGTGATGCTTCATTATAGGCCAAAGTTCTCTGATGGATTTCTACACACTTACACCATATGATGTTCTGACTTTTTTTGACACCCAGTTATTTTCCTCACCATACTTAGCTTTGATCACTTTGCCCCATAAAGATTGGGGTTCTTGAGAGTACTTCCATAACCATTTCATTATAAGAGCCTTGCTTTGATTCTTCAAATTCCTTATTCCTAAACCATCTTGTTTTTTAGCCAGTGTGAGTGTCTTCCATTTAAGTAAAGGGAAGACCTTTTTCTCCTTATTGTCTTGCCAAAGGAATGATCTTCGTAGTTTGTCCAATCTCTGTAAAATGCCGGCAGGAATTGGGAACAAAGACATCATATAAGTAGGAAGTGAGTCTAATACTGAGTTGATTAGAACTAGCATGCCCCCCAATGATAGGTATTGCGATTTCCATCTTGACAACTTCTTCTCACACTTTTCTATGACTGAATATTGCTCTTTCTCCGGTTGATGTGCAATCCCGAGACTCCCTCAAATAAAACCAAAATGATCCTTCGGAATCTAAGTTGTTCCTTTTCAGCGTCACAGAAGACTAGAGTATCATCACCATATTGGAGATGTGTGATCTCTAGATTGTTTGCCCCACTCCTGTTTACCTCAAAACCTTTCACCCATCCACTGACTTTAGCCGTTTTGATCATGTTGTTCAATCCTTCCATGGCTATAATGAATAGAAAGGGAGATAAAGGATCACCTTGTCTTAGACCTCTGTGTGAATGGAAAAAACCTTTAGGAGATCCATTTATGAGAATGGAGAATGTTACAATAGATATGCAAAATTTTATCCATCTATTCCATTTCTGCCCAAAACCCATTTGTTCTAACATTTTGAGTAGGAAGCTCCAATTTACATGATCATAGGCCTTCTCAATATCTAATTTGCATAAGATTCCAGGTTCTTTCTTTTTGATTCTTGAATCCACAGCTTCGTTGGCAATCAACACTGCATCTATTAGTTGTCTTCCTTTGATGAAAGTCATTTGTTGAGCATCGACAATTTTCCCTACCACCCAAGTCTTTCAGTCAAGACTTTTGAGAGCAGTTTGTAGAAGCTCCCTATCAGACTGATCGGTCTGAAATCTCTCAATTCTTTCGCACCTGTCTTCTTTGGATCAAAGCTATATATGTTGCATTGAAGCTTTTCTCAAACATATCCTGGGAATGGAAGTTGTTGAAGGCCTCCATGATGTCTTCCTTCAAAATGTCCCAACACTTTATGAAAAAACCCATTGTGTATCCATCCGGACCTGGGGCCTTGTCACTTGCACACATCTTCAGACAGCTCAAAACTTCTTGTTCCTCAAAGATACTCTGTAAAGACTCCCTCTCTGATTCAGAAATTCTTGGACTATTTTCGAAATTGACCGTTGGTCTCCACTCTTCAGGTTCTGTGTATAACCCCTTGTAGAATTCAATGATCTCGTTCTCTATTCTGTCTGGATCCTCGACTACTTCATGTCGAATCAATAGTTGATCAATGTTGTTGTTTCTCTTGTGTGCATTAGCAGTGCGATGGAAAACTTTTGTATTCCTGTCCCCTTCTTTGAGCCACAGAGCTCTTGATTTCTGTCTCCATGCACTTTCTTCGTTCTTGAGTTGTTCCTCAATCTCCATTAGAGTAGCTGCCTTCCTCACTGATTCCTCCTCTGTCAGCGCTCTTAGTTGTTGTGTTACCTCAAAACCTGCGAGTTGACTCAACAATTTTGATTTTTGCAATCCCAAATTACCTTCACAACTTCTGCTCCATTCTTTTAGCTTGCCCTTGAGAGCTTTTAACTTGCAAGCTAAAATATAATCTGGTCTTCCTGAGAATTCAAAATATGTCCACCAGTCTCTAATTCTGACAACAAAACCTTCCACATTCAGCCACCAATTTTCAAACTTAAAGTATGATTTAGCTTGTTCCCAAGCACCACAGTATAGAGCCACAGGTGAATGGTCAGAAATCAGCCTTTGTTGGATAGTTTGCTTGATGTTTCTGAAACTTTCATCCCATTCTTCTGAAATGAGAAATCTATCAATTCTTGAAGCGGTTGTATGATTGCCCCCTTTGAACCAAGTATAGTAGCCTCCTTCAAGTCGAAGATCTATCAACTCCATATCTTCTATAAAATCCGAGAATTCCACCATCGCTCTGGACCTCCTTGAACATTCCCGTTTTTCAAAAGGGTACCTTGTAACGTTAAAATCACCACAAACCGCCCAAGGACCTTCCATCAATCCCCTCACTGCACCAATTTCTCTCCATACTATTTTCCTTTCTATTCTGCAATTTGGGGCATACACTCATGTTATGTGACATTGAAAATTCTGTAAAAGAGCCTCGAACTTGCAAGTCAAAGTGTATGCACCAGTCAGTAAAACCTCCCATTTCCATACTCTGCAATCCCATAATAACAAAATCCCCCCTCTCGTGCCGCTAGCTTCTAAACTTGCATACCTCACCCATCTCTCACCCCATATTTGATTGACTATTTCCTTGATATCCCCCTCCACTTTTGTCTCTTGCATGCATATAATGTCTGCCCTCCAGTTCTGCACTTGACTTTTTATGATCTCCTTTTTCTTTTTGTCGTTTAATCCCCTTACATTCCAGGAAATTACTTTGATCTTCATATTGAAATGATTGATAGATCTCTTCCCCTACTCCTTTTCCCGTCACTCTTGAATTTGACATCAAACGAAGTTAATCCTTTTAATTCCAGTGATCCTTTGAACCTTTGTTTCTTCACCTCCAACTCTGTCTCCACCCTTCTAACCTGTCTGCAACTGTCAATTTGCATTAACAACTCCAATGCTTTTCTTCATGGCCTTGAAAATCTACTCCAAACATTTTCCCCAATTTGATCATATTTTGATGGACCCATAGTGTTGCATCCATGTCTTTATCCATTAATGGGTTGTGTTGCTGAACTGCTATAGGAGTCACCTCCTCGATTTCCTAATCTTGTATAGAGCCGAAGTGCTTTAGTTGTTCTTGTTGCTCCAAAGCACTTCCAGCTTGATCTTCCCCCATATTTGTGTTTATGATCTGCTCCCCTGCCTTCTGTTCCAGTCTTGCTATCTCTGCTCCACCTTCTGGCTGATTGCTACTGTTAAGTGTTGCCTTTGGCATCCTTTCAAGGTTTGCATTGGAGATTGGATCCCTTGGATTGGACTCTTTTGCCTTCAAGTAAGAAGGGCCTCCCATTTCCTCAATATAAGGCTTCAGGGTAATTTCATCACAGAACTCACATGAGAGATCATTAAAAATGACGTGTGCAGCCAAATCAGAGTCATAGGACTTCAGCTCGTTGTTTGTCACTTTAATGCTCCGATTTATCGAACTCGAACCATGTGTAAGTTGCACACATGCCTTTCATTTATCAGTGTTTTGCAATATGGTGCATCCCACTTGATTGTTCAAGTATCTCTCTGCTTCAAAGCATTGTTCGTTTTCTGGCATCTTCAGCTCAAATCTTGCCTGTCTTTCAGCCCAGATTGGGATGAAAAATTTGATCCCGTCTCTTTCAATCCCAACCTCATTGGGAATCTTTCCGCCATCACCAACAATTTTAATTCTAGCCCACTTAAGATGATTTTTGAGATCGGTTTCTTCTTTAGTAGCTATCCATCAACCACAGAGATCTCCTATTTCTTTGAAGATCTTTTGTGACCATAGATGTAAAGGAATCCCCATGGCTCTAATCCAGCATGTTTCCACCATTTGTGAGTTTGGAATGCATCCAGCAGTATGATTCCACCATTCCAGATGAAGCTTGAACTTTTTCCATCTCCAGTCTCCTTGCAAAATCTGCTCCGCCATGTATCTGTTCGGAAATTCAAAAAGAAACATGTTGCCAGTCATTTCATACATGTTGACTCCATATGCTTTGTCCCATGAAGCACTGGCTCATCGCCTTATGTCTGCTAAAGTGGGTCAGGGGAGGGTAAGGGGAAAGAGGGAGCTTGTAGATTGAGGATCGGGTTGTGGAACATAAGCACGCTGACGGGTAAGTCTATTGAGTTGGCAAAGATTCTCCAGAAGAGAAAGGTTAATAAAGCTTGTGTCCAGGAGACTAGGTGGGCAGGGCCGAAGGCGAGGAATGCGGACGGGTATAAGTTGTGGTACTCTGGAGTCGTGAGGGGTAAGAATAGAGTGGGTATGTTGGTGGATAGGGATCTTAGAGAGTCTGTGGTTGAGGTTAGGCGAGTGAATGATAGGCTAATGTTTATTAAGTTGGTGATTAGTGAGTGCACCCTCAAAGTAGTTAGCGCTTACGCGCCGCAAGCGGGCTTGGATGAGGAGGTTAAGAGGCGATTTTGGGAGGGCTTGGACGAGATTGTGCGTAGTATTCCACCTACCGAAAGGTTATTTATTGGAGAGGACTTTAATGGCCATATTGGGGTGGTTGCTGGTAGTTATGGCGAGGTGCATGGTGGCTTTGGCCTTAGTGATAGGAACGGAGGAGGTACTTCGCTATTAGACTTCGCTAAGGCTTTCGAGCTGGTGATTGCGAACTCGACTTTTCCGAAGAATGGAGGAGCATCTGGTTACTTTCCGAAGCTCGGCGGTGAAGACTCAGATCGATTACCTTCTCCTCAGAAGGTGTGATAGAGGGTTGTGCAAGGATTGCAAGGTTATCCCGGGAGAGACCCTTGCGACTCAGTATAGACTCTTAGTGATGGACATCGGCATTATGATGAAGAAGAAGAAGAGGTATGCTCGTGGCCGACCGAGGATTAGATGGGGAGCTTTAACCAAGGATAAAGCCCAGGAGTTGGAGGGGAGGTTATCCGCTATGGGAGCTTGGAGGAGTAGTGGAGACGCAAGCACTATGTGGTCAACGACGGCGAACTATGTGAGGGAGGCGGCGAGAGAGGTGCTATGTGTATCGAAGTGTTTTTCGGGCAGGCACCAAGGAGACTGGTGGTGGAATGACATAGTCCAAGGTAAAGTGGAGGCGAAGAAGGTAGCGTACGCGAAATTGGCAGGGAGCACAAGCGAGGAGGAGAGGAGAGCGAATAGAGAGAGGTACAAAGTGGCTAGGAAGGAGGCAAAGCTGGCGGTTACAGAGGCTAAGAATGCAGCGTTTAGCCGTCTATACGAGGAATTAAGGGAGAAAGGCGGGGACAAGAAGTTGTTTCGGCTAGCTAAAGCGAGGGAGAGGAAGGCCCGGGATTTAGACCAAGTAAGGTGCATCAAAGACGAGGATGGTAGAGTATTGATGGGAGAGTCCCAGATTAAGCAGAGATGGTAGACGTACTTTTATGGTCTTCTAAATGAGGAGGGGGGCCGGGATATAGCGCTAGGGGACTTGGGGCATTCAGAGAGTCTCCGAGATTTTAGGTATTGCAGGCGCATTAAGGTGGAGGAGGTCGTGGGGGCTTTGCGTAAGATGAGTAAGGGTAGAGCGACCGGGCCAGATGAAATTCCGGTTGAGTTTTGGAAGTGTATGGGTAGAGCAGGATTGGAATCGCTGACTGGGTTGTTCAATGTAATTTTTAGGACGAAAAGGATGCCGAAGGAATGGAGGTCGAGTACAGCGGTACCGTTGTACAAGAACAAAGGTGATATCCAGTGTTGTAACAATTATAGGGGTATTAAGTTACTTAGCCATACCATGAAAGTCTGGGAGAGGGTGGTGGAGGTGAGGGTAAGGAAGACGACGTCTATATCCGACAATCAGTTTGGGTTCATGCCGAGCCGCTCCACTACGGAAGCTATCCACCATATCAGGAGGTTAGTGGAACAGTACAGGGATAAGAAGAAGGATCTGCACATGGTGTTTATTGACTTGGAGAAAGCGTATGACAAGGTTCCTAGGGAGGTGCTCTGGAGATGTCTTGAAGCGAAGGGCGTGCCGGTAGCCTACATAAGAGCGATCAAGGACATGTACGATGGATCTAAGACTAAGGTTAGGACTGTGGGAGGCGACTCGGAGCATTTCCCGGTTGTTATGGGATTACATCAAGGCTCTGCGCTTAGCCCATTCTTATTTGCCTTGGTGATGGATGCTTTGACACACCATATTCAAGGGTAGGTGCCATGGTGTATGTTATTTGCTGATGACATAGTTCTAATTGACGAGGTGAGGGCCGATGTTGACGAGAGATTGGAGGTTTGGAGACAGACTCTCGAGTCTAAGGGTTTCAAATTGAGCAAGTCTAAGACAGAGTACCTGGAGTGCAAGATTAGCGCTGAGTCAAGGGAAGTAGGCGGGGACGTGAGGCTTCGGTCACAGGTCATCCCCACGAGAGATAGCTTCAAGTACCTTGGGTCGATGATTCAAGGGGACGGAGAGATCGACGAGGACGTCACTCACCGCATAGGGGCGGGCTGGATGAAATGGAGGCTTGCATCTATAGTCTTGTGTGACAAGAAAGTGCCACCGATACTCAAAGATAAGTTTTATAGAGCAGTGGTTAGACCGGCCATGTTGTATGGGGCAGAGTGTTGGCCGGTTAAGAACTCTCATATCCAGAGGATGAAAGTAGCAGAGATGCGGATGCTGAGATGGATGTGCGGGCACACTAGGAAAGACAAGATTAGGAATGAAGATATGCGGAAGAAGGTGGGCGTCGCCCCTGTGGATGACAAGATGCGGGAAGCGAGGCTTAGATGGTTCGGGCACGTGCAGAGGAGAAGCCTTGATGCACCGGTGAGGAGGTGTGAGCGGTTGGCCGTGGTGGGTACGAGAAGAGGTAGAGGGAGACCTAAGAAGTATTGGGGAGAGGTGATCAGGCAGGACATGGTACGACTGCAGATTTCCGAGGACATGGCCCTTGATAGGAAGGCCTGAAGGGTTGTAGGATAGGGGTAGTAGAGCTTTCCTTACTTCATACCGGGGGTGAGGCGGGGTTGGATTAGGGTTGATCTTAGATGGCTTGCAGTTTATGTTGAACCCACACTATTCTTGCTATTTATCTTAGCGACGAGCCTTAGACTTTGGTTACTGTTATTGCATGTCATTCATCTTTTGGTTTTTATGTTTTTGTTACTATTACGGTTTCTACTGGAGTTACTAATGAATTCTCTTTTCTTGTTATTTATTTCCGTCTTTCTGAGCCGAGGGTCTATCGGAAACAGCCTCTCTGCCCTATCGGGGCAGGGGTAAGGTCTGCGTACACATTACCCTCCCCACAGACCCCATTATGTGGAATTTTATTGGGTTGTTGTTGTTGTTATCCTTCAACGAGTTACCTGTAGCAGCTAAAGGTCTATATAGGCTGGATTTTGTTCAAATAATATCCTTCAAGCACAAACAGCAAAAAAAGCATGCTGGTGAAGTATAAGTGTAGTTTAGCATGGGTACTCTGTATCATAGCTGCATTTTTTGTATTTGGATCAAGCTAGAGTAGCTTGTATGTCCTGGAGTATATCAATGCTGTAACTAGTATAGTGGTAGATCTTACTGGAGAGTCTTTTATATCCCCAGTTTGTTTTGCGAGGTAAGGACATAGGGCCCCCCTCTTTTTGATGTAGCCATACAGCGTAATTAACATAAAAATAAAAATAAAAGAATGTTGAGAACCCAATAGACAAGTACACCCATGACTGTAGCTCTAGAGATCAATCCATGGATCTAAGAAAAAGTAGCAGATACAAGTGCCTGTGACTCAACACAGAACTTTATGAGAAAGCTGTAACCAAACCATTTTCGTAGTGTCTGACACAAGCCACCAGACACACAGATGCATAGGCCAATCGGTACCATGACCAACATAACATACTGCTACAAGAGCTAAAAAATTATTGAGTGTAACACTTGAAACTAATTGATTCCTTCTGATAATTGTAGCTATTCTAACGGCTAACAAGATTTCCAAATTGCAAAGAAGTACAGAAATTACTCTTTAGAGACATATTGCATAGAAGCCCCTGATTGAGACAGCATCTCCCAGAAAGACTTTACTCCAATGCAACCTGAGCAAGATTTATCATTGAACACATGAGTTTCAGCAATATCTGGATTCATCCTTCTCACTTCATCTGGCAGATTCTCTAGCTAGATCTCCACAGAACATAACAAGTATCAGCTGCCAAAAACAAAGTCATCAATTGAGGAAAGAAATTATTTCAGTCCATTCTCACCTTGCTCTGGAATGATGGGGGATCCCCAAGATACTCCTTCATATACAATCGTGCAACATGGAATGGATATCGAACTGAAGCTTTTCCTTTTTGAGAGGGTAATTGTGGTGCTGAATTTGAGAATCCTAGTTAAATGATATCAAATTTGTCAAAGAAAGATTTAAGACAAGCCCTAAGGAGTCTATCTACAAACTTCAAATTTACCATTAGAAGCACCGGAATCGTTTCTTTTGAGAGGGGTGACAATTTTGGCAATTCGAGGCTTCTTAAATGGAGAAACAAAACTTCCCCTTCCAGGTTTCCTCTTCTGACCAAAGTTTTGGTTTCTATCTGCAGATCCAGCTCCAATGTTATTTGAGATATTCACCAAAGGACCCCTAGAAGGCCTTTGTAGCAATTTAGGTTTTGAAGGGATGTCATTTTCTCTTAGGTCAATCGCTGCTGAGTTCTTGTTGAATGCTTCTCCATGCTGAGGAATACTATGGTCCGGCCTACTCGTGCTTTCTTTTGCCACAGCATCAAACTCCTTCATCAAGTTACTTGCTGGAGCGAGATTCTCTGTTTTAACCGAAGACTTCTTATGGTACAAAGTTGATCCAAATGGGGGTGTAAAAAGGCTTGACGAGCCACTGCCTTTTGCTGCCGATAAGAGGGAAACAGGAGTATCTGAGTTTAATTCTTTAATGGAGGAGTGATCAACATATTTGTGGTCTTTTGGAAAAGAAAACAATGGATCAACCACATCCTTTTCATCTACAAGACATCCCAGCTCTGGATCTCCAAGCAGACTCCTTGCACGTTTCAATGCCTCAGAAGAAACTGATATTGATCTACCACCAGCAGTATGAAACTTTATCGGAGGAGGTTTATCTGCACGATGCAGAAAATCTGGTACTAACTCCTCCGCTGCACAAACTGAGGAGTTAAGTTTAACATCAAACGGAGACAGTGAAGCTGCTGAAGCTTTAGTAGACCATGTGTTAGCAATCCCCTCTACTGCCACGAAAGGAACTGAACTCCGAAACCCAAAGCGCTCGTCTGAAGATCGATTTTTCTTTTCAGAACCTTGAAATGTTTCACTGTCACCATTTTCTTCCAAGCCCAACAATGCCTTGGCCCTATTAAGACCTGCGGAAGATATACTAACTGCTTTACCAGAGCCTGTCTGGAACATTGAGTTCGACGTGTTAAATTGTTTCTCCAAGCCAGAAAGGAAAAAAGATTCTGGAGCATTAAGAGCTTTCCCTGAGCCTTTCTGGAACGCAGCTTCCTGAAAGGCAAAACTGTTCTCTCTTCCAATCCCTTGTCCTGCATAATAACTTTTATGTATTTGATAATGCATATATCCAGACCACCATAAAAGCAAGAAATTCAAAATATGGACTCATATACCCCACTATCTCTCTACAATTGAGAAACTAAAGAAACTCGAGTTACATGTTACAAAACTACAACATTATATTCCACTGAATAATGCAAGATTGATTTTCTATACATTTTAGGTCAAATTCTGGTTCAGTGTAGACTCATTTCTTCTTCTGCTTCTGATCTTATTTTAAAGTCAAATGTCAGAGTACTGAAGCACGTTGTAGCATAATTAAATACCAGATTTTCTAAACTTAAATTAAGAGTAAGTAATTCCAGCAGCATACCTTTTCAGAAAAATCAAAAGAAGAAACTTTACCAATAGCAAAGAAAACAAAATCAATATAATAAATTATTACTCCTGAAGGATGAAACATGAGACCTGTGTCCCGGACCACATTGTTTTTATCATTAAGGATCGAAAGAGCTCTTGATATCGAAGACTGCTTCACTGCCACAGGCTTCCCGGATCCAGTTCGAAAAACTGGAAAATTCGCCGTGAAACTTGTATCACTACTCCCCGCTAATTTCGATCTTCCTGTATCGATTAATGTAACTTAATGCACGTATTGAAACTTTACGATTTATATAAAGGGGAAAAAAACAATGAAGTAGGTACCTTGACGCAAGAGGTCGGCCATGGATTGGAGCTGCTGAGGAGCTGCTAGGGCTAAGCTCGACTCTTCGATTTTAGTCTCTTCATCGGAGATTTTCCATCGGAAATCATTCCCGGCGGCGGAGTACAACTGCCACGTCGGCATTTTCCGGCAATTTTATGCAATGTCAAATCAATCTGTGAAGAGTAGCTTCGGAAATTTTGTTTGTGCCGAGGAGAATAGGGGGAGCTTATTTGAAAAAGCGGGAAATTTTGTTTCTCTATTACAATACCCGCGCATTCAAGAGCAAATATCATTTGTAGCCCATTGGGCCAAACATATATCATCCCATAGCCACAAATTTACCCATACAATTCATATCCTAAAAATAATAACAACTGGTAGCCGTCGCCTCCCATCCCTATCTTTCTTCCTTACTATCTTTCTTCTTCTCTCTCGCGCCAGAAACCTATGGTTGTGGTTCCATGGACACTTTTCTCTTTCTCTCTCGCTCTCTCTCTCTTTAAAAAGCCTCTTTGGTTTCTCTTGTTGTTAATTCAAAAGTATCGATGGAAACTTCATCTAGGCTGAACGGTTTGACATGACTTTTGACACCATGGGTATCGATTCATCGGTCGATGAGGTACTCTCTGAGGTTCAGTCTACTGTTGTCAACCCTCTTTTCTTGAAGAATAGATCTCTTGAGAAGACCAGAGGTTTCATCTCCACCTTCAGGAACTCAGTCTATCTGGACGGATCAAACTACAAGCAATATCACAAAGTGAAAACAGGAAAGAAGAGAAAATCGTCTAGTCAGGGAACAGAATACGAGGAAGCTGGTACAGAATCTTCACCCGTGATTCTGGTGGTGACATTCGCAGCTGGTTTTTCTTTGCCATCAGATGATGAAGTTATCCAAATATATAACAAGTTTGGGGATCTGAATGAGAAGGAAACAGAAGTGTTACACGATTCAAACAGAAGTGTTAGACTGTCACTTTCAAAAGCATATGCTGGCGCTCTGTGCATACATGCCTCAAGTGTTATATTCCTGAATTGAGAAAAATAACGAGTTAGGATTTGTTTTCAGGTCGAGTGTTCAGGAGATGAATATATGTAGTTTTATCTGTAATGTAATAGAAGAGATGACAATAACAACAACGATTAATAGTATCGACTATCATTATACAATTTGTATACAATAGATATACAAACGGAGACTGTCATTATACAGAAAATATACAAAATAAACTATCAATATACAAAATAGATAGTCACTATACAAAAATATACAAAATAGACTGTTACTATACAAAAGATATACAAAATAGATAGTCACTATACAAAAATATACAAAATAGATTGTTACTATACAAAAGATATACAAAATAGATAGTCATTATACAAAAATATACAAAATAGATTGTTACTATACAAAAAATATACAAAATAGACCGTCACTATACAAAATAGACTATTACTATACAAAAAATGTACAAATAGAGTGTCACTATATAAAATAGACTATTACTATACAAAAAATATACAAAATAGACTGTTATTATACAAAAAATATACAAAATAGACTGTCATTCAATTTTTAGCTAATATTATTAGATCCAGAAGTACAAAATACAATTTAAAAAGGCAAAAAGGGGTTGCTCCATCGCGCCAGGTAGGGGTCGAACCTGCGACCTTCAGCTTAGGAAATAAACGCCCTATCTACTGAGCTACAAGCACTTGTATTGTCATACTCATTCCTTTCGGCTACTATATGCAATATGTTTGGACCGAAGGGCCATTTTTTGAAAGTGGTACAAAACATGGGCCATTAAAATTTTGAGGGGCTAGAGGGTAATTTTTCCTACTTTATATATATTCTTGTTTGGTGAGTTGTCTAACTTGATCCGCTATGAAGTTTGAATTTATTAGGTTCATAGCATACTTATACTCACTTGGATTGAGCCTCAACGTTGTTCAGCTTCTTGGACAGCGGCATATTATTTCTACATTTTCTATGTGGGCATCCGTAATAAAGTGGACTTGTTCATCATATCAAAGAAAAGAAGAGAAGGAAAATTAAGAGAGTTATTGTAGGTGTCGGAGGAATTAAAGTTATACTTCATTCTACAACATGTAACTGCAAGGTTTCACCCTTTTTTCCCAAATGATATTCTGTAATCATATTGGGATCCGATTAATTTGAATTCGCGTCATACAAGGCCCATATATAAACGCTCTATATCAGGATTTTTCATGGGATTTTTACCTATCTATACTACATATGAAATTTATTTACCCTTCCTAATCAAGTTTTAACTTAATTACATGGGCATATATAATTTACCAATTATGTACAAATTAGTATTAATGAGTATCCCTTTATAGTATGAATTGAATAGGGAATCAGTTATTTTTTCACCCCTGCTCTCTCTCTCTCTCTCTCTCTCTCTCTCTCCTTCTCTGTTCTTTCCCCAATTTATCTTCCTTCGTTTTCACTACTTTTTATCCTTTCTTTTTTTTTTTCCAGAAAATTCATCAATGAATTTTAATTATTTTAATGTAGTGTTTAACTTAGCAATTTCCTTTCATGTTGCACAATTGGTATCCGAATTGAAATTGTCAATCAATAAATTTTGAAAGTACTAGATTCTCCACCATTGACAGCCATTAAAAGCTCTGAAGCTTTGAATTGGAATTTGAATTTCTAAAACTATTGTTTGTTTGGATTCAGTGTTGTTGCAAACAATTAGGAATATTTTTTGGAGTTTATATCCCAATTTTAAGGGTGTTTAGTGAAGATTAGACTTGGTTTTGGCTGAATTTCAGATTGAAACTCTAAGAAGAAGAAGAAGAAGAATACACGACATACAATATACTTACGAAATTGTATAAAAGTTGTGTGTAAATTATATTTAAATTAAATTATTTTGTAATTATATTTTTTTTATTTAAATGTTGTATGAAAGTTGAAGAATATTTGTATATTATATGAATCGCTGTATGAAATTTATATTTAAGTTATAAATACTATCTTTTTACATAAAGTTATTGATATGTATCACAATTATATTAAGAGTGAAAGTTTTGACTGGAATTTTAGAAAGGAAGAAGAACACACCACTTACAAAATATATACAAAATACATATTGTATAAAATTTGTATAAAAATTATATTTAAGTTGTATGGTATTATTATTGTATTTAACTGTATAGAAATAATATAAGAAAATTGTAAATAAGTTATCTATTAGGCCATCCTGCCTATTGATAAATCGTAGTTAAATGAAAGAAGTCAGTATGCAAACACATATTATATTTACATTGATTCGAGGTAACTTTTTATAATTTCGGGCTTATGGACAAGCTGTATGGGTCAAAATCTGACCACACGTGGTTTTGCGCTAAAAGGAATGGTGAAGGATCGACTGAGTCGTGGTCGTACCCACAAGGCGTAATAACAATGAGTATCTCGGCCACTGCCGAGATCGAGCCATCAAAAATCTTGTACGGAAAAACGTATGTCTAATACTTGACGGGAGCCATGAAAAGTATAATCAAGAGAGAGGGATGGAATATATATAGGAGGTAAGAAGGCAAGAAAAGAGGACTTACTCCCTGAGGAGAGAGGGGAATGGAAGAACAGGAGGAGAACTCCAACAACAAAGCAAAAGCCTAGATTTTGGTGGCAAATCTTTGTAATCGTCATTGCTGAGTCAATAAAGATAGATCTCATAGTTATCAATGGAATTCCTTCCTTTCCTTCTTTGCTCTTACATTACGGAACCATATATCAAGGATGTAAGCTTGTCATTTATGTCTGATGTCTTTTAATAATCTTAAGAAGAGTTATATAAGCTCGTCTGTATTCGATTCTCGTATTTAACATGCTTTGATCTAGAGTTAATTACTCTTGGTTATGATTTACCCTCTTTTTTATCATTAATTAGTTTAACAAAAAGCTTAACACTTTTTTGATCAAACAATTTGGCGCCGTCTGTAGGGATTTCTTAGCCAAATTTTTAGTTTCCTTTAGATCTAAAACCAGCCAAGTATCACTTCTAGGCTGTCATAGCCTCACCTCCTCGGTATAAATACCAACTCGAAAAAGTGATAGATAAGCTTTTGAGATAACCAAACCAATTTGGGTCAGATTTGTACATGAAATTGAAATTATGTCCGATGTCTCTACAAAACCCATGCCTCATCTGTAGCGATATGTTTAGCACGTCATATGCATGTTCAAAGTAGGATCACGGTAACCACGTACGCACTTAGCATGACCGCGATCATATTTAACGTATTTACTTTGTATACCGGCCTGAACTCTCACCTCTTAGGAAGGGACGATAGCCAACTATGTGATTCTTTGAGATAACGGGCATATCCTGCCTTACTCTCGTACCCACGCGCACTATGTGATTTATGAACAAAGCATGACATGTTTCCCTTATTGTTTGTGAATATCGAACGGGATCAGATTGGGACTCGGTCTCGAGATCCCAACGAGCAATGTAAGTTCAGCCTACGAGAAGCCTAGACGCGACTAACGACGAAGCCAAACATGACTGCCAAATCTGAAACCGCCATTCAAGCATGGGGCGAAGAAAGTAACCCCACAATGCCTTTTCCCCCTTCACCGACTTTCCAGGTCAAGGTAACATGCAATTTTGTTTGGATTTAACTTATCATACTCTCTTTTGGCTCAAAACAAGAACACGACCATTCGCACAGGTACGCGAACAAGGAACGAATGCCACCAGACATACCGGGAAAATGTTTCGTAACATGCCCTCTCGCAAGCAAGGACCAGCAAAGGCATCTGTGCCATACCGTATCGTTAAATAATAGAAATGGCCCAGAACAGGCCGATATTATTAAGAAACAATCTCCGGAATCGGGGATTGAGCAACGGGTCCATGAAATGTATAGTCTCCCCAACCGGCAAAGCATATGCTCGAAAAGCCTAGTGCCTAGTAACCCAAATAATAAGTTCATTGCCAGTCTAGCCAACAGCCTTTCTGGGCCGAGCAACAAAGGGACCGGATAAATCGGGACTCCACCGATGCATACAAACTATGCAAAGATGCACATACTCTCTAATGAAATCATAATTAAGCAAACCGGGACTTACCTCGTTGCAGGCACAGAGTAATGATCTCCAATAAAAGTAATGCAAAGGATAAATCTCACTATCCCTCCAAACCCACATCGGCAAGAAAATAAAACTCGACTTCGCTCGAGTTAACACCCTCACAGCCATCGGCCATCGCCA